AAAGCTGCACAGAAGGCTAACCGTACTGGTGACTCATACTCACCTGCCTGGGGTTCGAAACATACAGGGAAGTATCACAGACTGTGCTGTAGCCAACCAAGCGGTCGCCTGGGAAGAGGCAGCTAGCACTGAGCGGCGAGATTAAGACTTCCGTTGTTTCTGGGAAGACCCACTCCACCGAGACATCGCTGACAATGGGAGCCATCGCCTTCTTTAAAGACTTTATCATCTGGGGACACAGAGCACGAAAACGGGATTTCAGCCATCTAGACCAGTCATTTGGGGCTGCCAACCTCCAGGCAGGGCCTGGAAATCTCCCGCAGTTGCAACCAATCTCCAGACAACAGAGACCGGTTCCTCTACAGAAAATGGCCACTTTGGTGGGTGGAGTCTATGGCATTGCTGAAGTTCCACCCTTCAGGAAACCCCACCCCTTCTTAGGCTCCCCACTCCAGTAGCCAGGAATTTCCCAACCTGGTCGTTCCCAAAACGATTATTGCACTCCAAGAGGAGAATGAGAGAAGTAACAGCTCAGGGAAGAGGATACAGGGACTTTCAGAGCATCTCATATATCATACGAGAAATCAAGGCTGAGAGTTCGAAAAATGGCTCCCTTTTATCGAAAAGAAAGAGAAGGTTCAACATCATTCAGACACAATCCAGATGGATTACGTACTCTTCTCTTGCAGCGTTTCATTGAAAATTGTTATGTCAAAGCCGTAACGAGTTAGCAGTAGAAATCTACCAGTTTATATGGTATTTATTTACAGACAGCAATGTCAAAACCTTTTACGTTGATTGCCTTTACTGTTTTGAATATTGCCTGTACACCAGTATTATTCCGTTCTTATGTAAAAAGGTAAAGGTTCCCTTGCTCGAAAGCCAGTCGAGTCCGACTCTAGGGTTGCGGTGCTCATCTCCGTTTCAAAGCCGAAGAGCCAGCGCTGTCCGAAGATGTTTCCGTGGTCATGTGGCCGGCATGATTAACACGAAGATGCATGGAACGCTGTTACCTTCCCACTGAAGTGGTACCTATTTATCTACTTGCAATCTCTTGCTTTCTAACTGCTAGGTTGGCAGGAGCTGGAACTAGAGACAGGAGCTCACTCCATCTTGCGGCACCCGGGTCTCGAACTGCTGAGCTACTGACCTTCCACAGCCTGTAGTTCAGCGTCTTAACCACTTGAGCCACCGCAGCTCCTAGTTCTTATGTAATGCCTCTCTAATCTACATGACATGTAACCAGTTGTCTATAATAGTAAAAAATTTATTTTAAAAAAAGGCTGAAAGAGAGGAAGCAGGACAGAGCTGTGGATAGCTTGAAAAGTAAGAGCCTCTCTGCCCTTTCACTGGCCCTCCAGAGGAACTGGTTGGCCACTGTGTGAGACAGGATGCTGGACTTGATGAACCGTCGGTTTGATCCAGCAGGGCTCTTGTTATGTTCTAAGAACTGACCTATGAAAGCTTCTTCCCTAAAGAAAGCGGCCGGTTTGATGAAAGGAAGGATCCTGTCTTGTCTAAAATCCCATGAGCTGTTAATAAATAGAACGGAATGGAAGGATCCAGTTTCTGTCGATGCTGGCTAACAAAAACTTCCAAGGGCTTAACAAGCCACAGGCCTAGTTGAGGAAGGTGCTAGGAGATTGTTGGGAGCATGGGCAGATACTACCCAGGGTGTCAAAATGCCTGCTAGCCCTTCATCCAGCAGCTTCCCAACCCAGGAAGAAAGCAAGGCGATACAGCGCAGTTGGATTACTGCAACATACTCTACATGGGGTTGGCCCTTGAAGACAACCTGAAAACTACGCCTGGGTCCAGAAAGCAGCAGTCCGACTGCTGACAAGGGCCAGCCACCTGGAAGGTGCGTTGTCCACTTTGAAGCAGCAGCCCTGGCTGCCAGTCTATTTCTAAGTTCAATTTAAGGGGCTGTTTGTGGAGCTCCGGTGGCTCAAGTGGTTAAGACGCTGAACTGCAGGCTGTGGAAGGTCAGTAGTTCAGCAGTTCAAGACCTGGGTGCCGTATGATGGAGTGAGCTCCCATCTCTAGTTCCAGCTCCTGCCAACCTAGCAGTTCGAAAGCAAGAAATTGCAAGTAGATAAATAGGTACCACTTCGGTGGGAAGCTAACAGCGTTCTGTGCGCCTTGGTGTTTAGTCATGCCGGCCACATGACCACGGAAACGTCTTTGGATAGCGCTGGCTCTTCGTCTTTGAAACGGAGATGAGCACCGCAACCCTAGAGTTGGATTCGACTGGCTTTCGAGCAAGGGAACCTTTACCTTTACCTTATGACCTTTAAAGCCCTTCACGACCTGGGACCCAAATGTTTGAAGGACTGTCTCCTTCCATATGTCCCTGTACGCCAACTACAATCATCAGGCAGTCATCTGTTGGATATGGGGTTGCTAGGTCTTACCTGGCTGCCAGCAGCGTGCTCCTGCCCAGTCCCAGGATCTTCTGGCGTGCGTGTGAAGCAAAAAACCTCTATGGTCACCATAGAGTTTTAACCCAAATGCTAGAGTATCCCTTGCCTGAGGTGACATCACTGTGCCGGGCAAGTCGGGCACGATGGGGCTCTTTGGGGCAAGGCTCCCCCCCACCAGCCAGCTGGCCATCAGCGGATTGGGCCCCCCCGAAAGCAGGGGAACCCCCGCCCCCATCAGAGGGAGGGCAACCCTAGTTGGATATCCCAGCATTTAGGGTTGCCTGTCTGGAATCAACCACAGCCCGGGCCTTTTCCGTGGTGGCCCCAGCTCCATAGAATGCGCTCCCTGAAGGGGGGGGGCCTTGGAGATCTCACCAGGGCTTTTGAGGGGGTTTGAACAGCAGACATTTTTAAAGGGGGGGGATGGGGGAGAGAGTTGGTATTTGCTATTTTATTTTTGGTTTTTACTGAAAACGTTTCTGACCGTTCTTGTACACTGCCTCGAACCACGAGGAAAGGCAGGATATAAATGTCTTGATTAATAAATAAAGGTGGGGCGTTATGTCAGTCACCATTCAATACTGCATTCTGGCTTCCGGTGGGCTGAGAAGGACAGCTGAGAAACCTGTTCTTCCGAGAGCTGTCAGTGTGGGGCATCAAAGGCAGATTAGGTGTCCCGCTAACAGTCAGACAAAAGCCTTGAGAGCCCCCGAGTGCCTTCTGTGCCTCACCAGCCTCCCTTGTCCAGGATTCAGAGCTATATGGGAAAGGCGGTGGGGGTCCCTATCGCTCTCTCCCACACACTTTGGGATAATGGAACAGACATGATGTGATGCCACCACCACACCTTGGTTTCCTCACCCCCTGCAAGTGGAAGAGGAGGAGGAGGAGATTGGAAGGGACTGCCAGTGAGGCGGCCTCCTCCCTCCCGATCCCTATCTTGTGATGAAAGTTAACAGATTGAACTCGACAGGCCCCTTCTTCGCTCAGCCTCCCTCCTCCACCCCCGCCAATCTCCCTGCGACATACACAAAAGGGTAAATAGCATCTCTCCGGTGACCATCATGGGGGGGGCCGCCTTTTCATCCGAGAGACCGTGCCCACTCATTGCGTGGGCGTCAAAGAGCAGGAAATTGTGCCAGCTGCCAACAGGCAGCCGCCCCCTCAGTCCCTCCAAGGAGAGGGATCATTAAATGATCCCGTGTTTGCTCAGCTGCAAAACTGACACTGTCTTGTCATGAAAGCCCAGAAAGTCCCAGTTCAGAGCGAAAATGAAGCCATCGTTTATCTTAACTGTGGCTGGTTTGCGAAACCAGGATTTGGTTCGCAGGCTTTTGGTAGAAAAAGCCCAACAGGAACTCATTAGCATAACAGGCCACACCCAACAGCAGAAACATATTAGCATGTTAGGCCACACCCTGACACCACAGCTCATTAGCATATTAGGCCGCAGCCCCATGTGCTCATCCAGCCACACTCACCTTTTGCTTCTTATTCTTTTTACCTTGTTTGTTGTCAAAACCCAGGGCTTTTTTTGTAGCAGGAACTCCTTTGCAAGTTAGGCCACACACCCCTTATGTAGCTGTTGGGTGTGGCTTATTATGCTAATGAGTTCCTGCTGGGCGTGGCCAACTCGGGAGCTAGCCGGAACTCCGTTCCTGTGTGTTCCTGCTCAAAAATAGCCCTGTATCGCAGGCTATGCCTCAAATGCTGGCCGCTTCCGCTTCACCCTAGCCCAGCTTCCCTGCACTGCACCCGGGGAGCTCTGCAAGGGGAGGATGAAGGAACAAGCCAGAATGAAGCCACAATATCTGTATTTGTATATCACAAGCAGCCATAGTTAAGAGACTGGCGGTGGGAAGTGCTGTCAGGTCGTAGCCAACTTATGACGGCCCCACTGGGTTTTCAAGGCAAGAGACGTTCAGAGGT